ATTGTTGTGGTTTCCGGTGGTGGTTTTTGATCTTGTCTGTACCATTTTGGGCCTTGAGCGACTGGATCATTGGGGTTGTTTACCGGAAATTGTGAGAGTTTGGTGGAGGCCCTCCTTCTAGCGCCAAAATGTTGATGTAAAAATACACCAACTAGAGTGATCTAATCAACCTTGACGGGACCAAAATTGATGTGTGCGTGATTACGGGTAACCAACAATGAATAAACGAAAAATGCGGTAAAGTAAATGACAAGAAAGTTTTTAAAGTGGTACGGCGAGCTATACTCTTGAGCCTACGTCCACTATTTTTCTATTTGCTGTGAGAGCTTACAATAACAATCCTAGAATAATTTGCTAACCCCTTTCTCATAATTGGAGGGGGTTTATATAAAGATTTTGTACAAAGGAAAGAGTGAAAATAAGTGGATTACAATTAAGTTTGAAATGCAACTCTTATATTCTCGTGATTGAGCGCTGTGATTGCACAAAGATTGTTGTCGATCTGATCATTTTCAAGATACTCAAGATCTGAAGTTATCTGTGAATTGGTTGAACAACTATAAGGATTGGTCGCAACTAGCTTATGCTAGGTTGACCTATGACTCGACGAGCTTATGCTGGGTCAGACAATTGGTTGAGTCGAGCTAGCTCTGGATCGAGCTATAACCTCTCAATTCCCTGAGCTTAAAGGAAAAATCACACACAACAATGCCCGAACTTGGCCTTGATAGCAAATGTTATATACTTTTAGACCAAATACAAAACTAAAATAAAACAGGATTTCTTTAAAGAGGGAACCTAAGACCTTTGGTAAAACATTGATACTTTTATCATGACTTTAATTGACTGGCTATTTCTTTTATTCCAGAACATATATTTATAATAATACAACAAGAGAAAATACATAAAATAAATTTAATCAATGAATATAAAACCTACTCAATATCCTAATCTAATTTATTTAAATTAAACCCAATAGTAATTGATTAATAACTAAATCCTAAGAAAAATAAAGAATATACATATTAACATTGTTGTTGTGAGATTTCATATCAATAGAATGTTGATTCAAAATTCCAGACCAATCGGAGGTACTTGGTTGAACCAGGAAAAAACCAAGTAAGATGGGTGCGTGATTCTGGGGAATCAGCAAAGGTGACCCGATCCATGCATGATGGCGATCGAGGCAATGGCATGCCTCTTGGAAAATGAAACGAGAACATAGCACTTTTAATGTTATTCCGCTAGAGAACAAATAAGGCCTCCATCCACTGATATATTATTCAATAGTATGTATGATTTGGACTACAAAGAATGGATTTCTTCTAACTAGACAGGGGAAGTTTTCTCTTATTCCTCTTTCAAAGCTGGAGCTTGAGTTGGAGGGGATCCCTTTCTTATTTGGCTGTCGCTTCTATTTATACGCCCTGGGATTGTCATGATGTCAAGTGCATCAACCGAGTCGTCTTATGTTGCACGGGAGCTGGAGACTTACATGCCCCTATGCCGAAGAGAATGAGGGTTTTCCCTCTGATAGTGGGTGCCTTTACATGTTTCCTTTCAACTTAGCTGCATGAAAGGCACATGGAGTTCACTCCTGCCGTCGATCAAGGTAGGCAACTTATACATGGTAAGGTGATCTAGTAGAGTGAAGATATATTTTCACATGGTGGGCATACATTTGCTGATTGTTCGCGCTCTCTTTGGTTCATCTTTGTGCTCGAGCTTGGTGTTCACTCCGAGCAGAGGCGTATTTCGGGTTCCTTAACTAATCCTATGTTAGAGACTTTTAGTGTACAACAAACATTTATCAATTATCAAAATGGGTACCTAAGAAATTGATTGCATAAACAAACTTAGCTTTAGCTTTTGTATCCTATATTTATTAAACAATAGAGGTGGGCAAAAGTTGGGCTCGATGGTCCTAGGGCCGATCCTAATTTTGGCTCAGTCCAAATTGGTTAGGACCGAACCTGGGCCCGTCACTTTTGTGAGGGCTCCGGTCAATCCCAGGCTTGGGCCTAGCTGTTTAGGACCAGTACTAGGGCCTAGAAAATTTTAATTTAGCCCCCTAATTTTTTATATATTTGGGGGCTAAAAGATATCTATGTAAGGGGGGTTTTGTAATTTATCAGGGGGTGATTTGTAAATTTTTGATTAATTAGTAAAAAAATTAAATGAATAGTTATAAATTTATAATGGCTTTAATTTAAAGAGATAAATTAATTTTAGCTTTGCAATGTGAAAATTTAATTTAAACTTAAACAATTAAATAAATATGAATGGATGGTTATAAATTTATATGGTTTTAATTTAAAGAGATAATTTAATTTTAACATAATGTTGCAATGTGCAAAGGTGTGGTTTTTTTTTTTTTTTTTTTTACCTTTTTTTGCAAAATTACATTTTACCTCTAAATTTATTATGTATTTCATATATTATAGAGAGTTTTGGTTATATGTCAGGGGTTTTTTGAAATTAATCGGGCCTGGGCCTAGACCACTAGTGGCGGACGAGTGATTAACGTGTACGAACCTACCCTTGGGAGGGGAACAACGACTGGAAACGGTTGCTAATGCCCTGTAGGCTGAGGAGCAAAAGGTGGAATCCAGTCCTATTTTTGGGCCCTGCCCAAAGCTATCCCCATCAAACAATCACTAAATTTTGAATATTTATTTCCTAACAATAATGAGAAAAAGTAATTGGTGAGTTTTGCCTTTATTACCCACTGGGCCAAGTGTCCTAGCAAGTAGTCTCTTCTTTCTCTCTATTTTTTTTTTTTTTTTTAAGGTATTCTTATCTATTTTCCACACATAAATTTATTTTCCAAATTATGTTATAACATATAAATAATTGGTTTATGTCAATATATTACTAAAAAACAATTAAAGAAAAAAGAAAAATTTATCTAAACAATATCGATTAATTGGCCTTCTTTTGGTTGTATTAGTCTAAATGGGACAAGGGGTCCGTTCAAGAAAAAGTATTGAGTAGTGTTATTGAAACCCCATCTAAATTCTTTGGAAGCCCCAAAATTAATTACAAAAAATAATTTTTAATTTATTCTAATATTATAATTTTTCTAGTATTTTTAACTTATTTTTTTTCCTAATCCTTTCAATTTATTTTTTATTTAAACAACGAAGATTCTTCAACACAAGAGTTGAATGTTGTGCTAAATCAGATAATTTATCCTAAAATTATCAATAATTTAATCAAATAAGAAAACAAGTTTAAGTGGTTTACTTCAAGTAAAAGTTGCAGACAAGAAGACGAAGGTAGAGGACACTTTCTTAAAATTCAAATTTCTAGAAAGTCTATAGAACTAATTTAGTAAATAAAGCAAAAAAAAAAAGAAAAAAATATAATTAAATTAAATAAATAGAATGTAATCTTAGAATTACAAGATGTTTAAAAGTGGTAAAATTTATAAAAACTCGTTGAAGGTGTTAATACAAATAGTCGTTTATAATAATTTGCATTTATAATATATTTTTAAATTCAATAAAATTAATAGTAGGATTTAAAAAGGAGTTTTGGTGAGGCTTGAAGCTAGTATGGGCTACACACAGCCTTTGGGTTGACATGATTTGAGCCCAATAAAATAGAAATAGCTCCAACAAGAAAAGTTGAAAATTATGTTGAATATTTATCTCGTGCAGAGTGTAGTTAAAAATATTGGAGTACGTGAGAGTGGGTGATATAGAAGAGGAAAGAAATTCGCGTGCGCTTCTTATTTTGTAAGTACACAATTTGGGTATATAACCAATGCCTAGATATTATAAGATTTGTTGTTTGTTCTCTGTTTTTCTTTTTTCTTTTTAGTATATCATTAAATTTGAAGTATGAAAGATTTACAATTATTGAAGATTTAAATGAATAATAATCCAAGTTTGTATTCAAAGTTTTAACATTTTAGGAAATTAATTGAAATAATATTTGAAAGTATTTCTAGTGGTGAAAGCAAAAAAATAAAAAAATAAAAAAACTCAAACAAATACTGCTGTCTGCTGCTCCTCCTGCAACTTCTGAGCCACTACAGATTCCCGGTTTCACTTCTTTTACAAAATATAATAATTTATTTCCATTTCCAACTTCAATATCAACTCTTTCAAACTACAATTACTAAATGCCAAGAAAAAATTTCTATTTCTTTTTTAGCACAAAAAACAACAATACTCACTCCACTACAACTTTGCCTTTGAACCTTGAAATCATCGTTTCAGATCACAAACCACAACGGCCAAACCCAAATCTTTGTATTCAGCAAGAGTTTTTGGTAATCCAAATGCCATTGTTGGTTTTTTCTTTAATGCTAAACTTGTTTCTTCCCTACTTATCGTTCTGTTTCTTTTTTGATGTTTAGTGTTACATAAATCATTATTTCTTAGCTTTGTTTTCTTGTTTGTGCTCTAAATGTTGTTAATGTTTCATTCTTGGGCAGTTTCTGATGCTTGGTTTTGCCTGGTTTTAGATAAAGTTTCAATCTTGAGCAGTTTCTTTTTCTGGGTTTTGGTTAGTCTTTGATGCGGTTTTAGTTAAAGTTTCAAACTTGGGCAGTTTCTATTGGTTTTGTTTATCTTTGATGGAGGGTTTTAGTTAAAGTTTCAATCTTGGGCGGTTTATGTTTAGTTTCTGAGGGGTTTTAGTGTAAAGGTTAGTACTTTACTTAATTTGTATTTTTGAATCTTCTCTTTGAGTTGAAACAGTTGCGGTTCATATTTGTTTAATCAATCTTTAAAGTCATAATTAAACAGTATGAACTAAAACCGTAATTGAATTCTTTAATCTGGATCTTGCCACTAGCAGGATTTAGGGGATTTTTCCGGGAATCCCGGTTTATCATCTTGGGGTACTACTTTATGGATGCAATATTCATTTTGTACCCTACTTTTAGAATCACTTTATAATATTTTTATTTGGGTTTTGAGATTTGTATTTGTGGTAGTTAGATCACATTATTGGATCTTGTATTAGTTTAGGGTTTGATCTCTTAAGGAATGGAATGTGCCACCATTACTAGACCCTCAAAACCCCCTTCGAATATATCCGAGATCGTCTGCAAATTTGCGAAAGTTTGCAGGATTAGATCCATCGGTGTGTTTTACTCTGAAATCTCTAATCACCACAATCCAAACAACATTAATGTCTCCATGACTATGAGCGAAGATGGGAGTGATAACAAAGTTGAAGAGACAGAATGTGGTGGTGTCAAAGTCCATCCGCAACCCATTGAAGTTCGTTGTAAGAGTAATGAATGTGGTGACATGGAGATTATGAAGTTATTTGAGATTGTTTCTAAATTGAAATTAGCTTATGTTCAGCTTCAAGAAGCTCACATTCCTTATGACCCAGAAAAGATTAAAGCTGCTGATGAACTTGTTGTGGCTGAGCTTGAAGCACTGTGCAAGACCAAGCGAATGTACAAGGAGAAGCAACTAACAAAAGTCAAGTTCGATTCTTCTTGTTCTGATGTTCTAAAAGCAGAGATTGAAGTCAATGAGAAGATATTACAAAAGTTGAAGTCCCAAGTTGAAGTGAAAGAATCGGAAATTTTTCATTTGCAACAAGAACTGCAAGATTTGCATTTGAGGAATGCCATTATGGCTGATAAGATTACACAGCAAAGTCTTGAAACAAATAATGTGAGGGTTTTGGATGTAAAAATGTTTGAGGATAGCTTCAAAGCAGCCTCAAAGTCCATTCATGAGTTTGCGAAGCCAGTCATTAGCTTAATGAAAGCTTCAGGTTGGAATTTAGACCTTGCCGCAACCTCAATTGAAGCTGCTGTTGCTTATTCCAAGAGGTGCCACAAGAAGTATGCATTTGAAGCCTACATTGCAAGAAGGATGTTTCATGGGATGTCTCTTCATTCGTATAATGTGCATGATATCATGAAGTTTGATGATCCGTTCGTATATCTGGTACATAAACCGGATTCAGATTTTGCGAAATTCTGCAGAAAGAAGTATCTTTTAGTAGTTCATCCGATGATGGAAGCTTCATTCTTTGGCAATTTGGACCAGAGGGTTTTTGTATCGAGTGGCAAGAATCCAAGAACACCATTTTATCAAATATTTGTGAAGATGGCGAAGTGGATTTGGATTTTACAAGGGATTGCATCCTCAATTGATCCCAAAGCGAAAATATTTGTTGTGAATAAGGGATGCGAATTCTCAAATGTTTGCATGGAATCAGTTGAGGAGTTATCTGAAGGCACAGCTGGGAATGGTGAAGAACAAACCAGTTGCAAAGTTGAGTTTATGGTAATGCCTGGGTTTAGAATTGGAGATACATTGGTGAAGTCACAGGTTTATATATCGAGGATGAATTAATCACACTGCTAGACGATGGAGGTCGGGTAACTTCATGAAAGCTAATCATGTGTTGTATTTATATATTCCTTAGCGTAAATTTAGTTCAGAGCTGCAATTGATTTGTTTTCTGAAATTTTTGTTTGTAACATGTAGTGCAAGCTAAGAAATGGTTGTGCTTTCAAGTTCTTAATGTATCTAAATTGCTTTCTCGACTGTGAATAGAGACTGATTGCGTAATACGTTGGACTCAAGACTCATTTTATGTTATGTTTATCTGTCTCTATGCATTGTTTGCATGATTAGAGTATAAATTTATTTTATTTTATCATTTTATGTTTAACGTAATGGGCATTTCATTATGAGGGAAAAAATTCAAATTAAATAAACCGTATGATAAAATACATCAAATAATTATTCATAAATAAAATGGGTTTGGTAACTTGAATTAATCATTCCTCAAAAGTATTTTGCATCTTAGACTAGGGATGTTAAATAAACTCGACCTGGGGCCCGGCCCGGGCATTACATAACACCCGGGCCTGGGCTTGGAAAATCAGACCCGGGTATAGCTGGGTCGAGCCCAGGTATTTTATACGAGGTTTTGTAAAATTATTGATAACCCTCATGAAAATTACGGAAAACCAACTAATAAATTTAAGAAAGTACCCCAAAAATACATCCACCACCTTTCATATTGTCAAACAACAGATAACGCCCAAATATATTTCTAAGCCCACCTATTAAGTAAAATGTCTAAAACCCTCTCATTATGCCAAACTTGCGCATAAAATCCGGGCTTTTCCCAGGCCGGGTCTGCATTTTTAAAGAAAACCCAGGTTAGCTCGGCCTAAACCCAGGGTCTATACATCCTACTCAGAGCTAACAGATAAACAAAAAATTTCTCCCGACTCCCACAACCCAAATCTTGATTGGAATTCACTGCAAAATTCACTCTTACTCTTGAATTATTCATTGAATGATCCTCGGATTCAAAACACCATTCTCCCCTTCATAATGTACAGTATGGGAAATCTTGATGTCCATATGAGAAGTACTTTCACTTGTAACGGCAAAAGCAACCAGAATTATTGGATGCCAACAATAAAATTACTTAAGGTTCAATAGACTCAGATAAAGCTTAATGCAAATATGCATTTTGGAAATTTCCGTTTAATGATTTCTAATCAATGCTCATGTTGCCATTTTCCAATAAATTGATAGTAATTCACCTTAAAAACGATGTGTTCAGAATGTGAGCTTAAAAGTGCTATGTGAATGCAAAAAAAAGAAGCAATGTCAGTTCTGCTGAAAATGTAAACCTGCTTAGGCATGTACTGGGCCAGTCAGCCTAATCCAATTACCAACTATATATGTAACGTTTGAAATTAAAATAGGCCCAATCTTCTCCTTTATTAAGGAAAATAAAATTTTGACCCATCGAACAATACGTAAATTGAATGGAGCTATGTTATACAGATTCTGGCAATAGAAAAATAAAAATTGAACTTGGTAATTCTAATAATGAAGTTATCACCAATTTTAATATTTGAAAATGTGTGTGATATGATATTAAAAAACTGTTTTTATATTAAATAAAATAGAAAACTGTAAAAAATGACTTTTAATGTATTCTGATTTTACACTAATTTTAACATTGTATTTAAAAACTGATTTCGGAAACATTTTAACTCATTTTTCCAAAATAAATTTTCATAAGGTTTTTTGTATCCATTGTTTTAAAAAACAAAAAACAAATGTATTTAAATTCTACAGAAACATGCCAGAATTCCGGAATTCAAAGCACTACCTAATTAAAGCAATCTCTAGGTAAAAAATAAAAAGGAATTTATGATACAGGCATCATGATCACATTACAATTAGAAATTGTGTGCGTGAATTGAGAGAGATACAGATTAATTTCACTTGGAACTATGATGATCAATAAGAGTATGATCATCCTGATCAGGTGAAAACAAGTCCTTACAAAGCTCTCCATAAAATCTACAAACTAAATAAATGAACACAGGACTCTTCAAATTCTTCCAACAATACAAAAGCTCTTCAACATCTGTCAAATCCCCAACTTTTCCTTCTTCAACAATCATCTCCACCAAATAATTCTCAAAACTCCTGCATGCATCTTCAACATCTTCATCTCCAGCCGGGATAATTTCCCTTTTACTACTCGAACCAATTCCTCCCTTCACAAAAGATGGCGTAAGAGGTGAAGGAAACAGCTGTATTCTCTCATTATCTGAATAAACACTACTCACCTCTGTCACTGATCTATGGCTTTGACTATGACTATCCATCTTTGTCGACTTCTTTAGCGTCCGAAACCCCGACAACAATGCAGCCATTCGATTCCTGGGAGGAGATTTTCTGGGTTTGTTGTGCCACGAACGAGGTCGAAAACCAAGAGCGCTTATAAAGACAGGCTTTCTGAGTTTAAACTTGAATAATTTGGATAATTTAATTTTGCATGGCTTGAAAAGCTTTGTTTTAACGGCAACTAATGCTTTCATTTTCACTTGTGATGAGTAGAGATTAAGAGTGTTGTTGAAGAAAAGAGAAGGGTGGTGATGGTGCTGTTTGTTGCAATGCTTTTTGGAAATGGATTTGTTAGGGTTTCGCGGTTGGTGCCAAAAAGAGATTGTTTTAAAATGAATGTTACATTGGTTGATTAAGATGTGATTTATGATGTTTAATTTTGATCAGTTGCTAATATATATATATAGTTGGGTGATTGGTATATGTTTATATATATTTGCTAGTAGGCTTCACGTTTTAGTCTGAAGAAAGTGGCACACCATGAAATGGATATATTTTACTCGCCTGCCTAACAAAGATTCAAGGACGCCATTTTTTTAAATAATCCAACCACTTTTCTGTTTATTATATTTTGAAGTTTATTAGCTGGATTTGCTTTCAATTTAAAATTAGTTAGTCTTTATCATTGATAATAGCCCAAAATAATTAATTTTGTAGAATAATTAAAGATTCAAGTTTTTGTAGAATAATTAATCATAATTGACCTAATAGAAGTTGATGAGATGAATTGTAACGTACAATGTGAGATGTTTAGCATAATAGGAAACATAATAGTTATAAATCTTGGGATTGTAACATACAATATCGTGTAAGTCAACTAATCATTTAGGATCTTAAAATTATCGGTGAGATAAGAATCCTAATAATCACCTCTATTAATAGTCAAGTCAACTATCTATTGTTGTAATTTTTTTAAGTACAATCTAATTCACACACTTGACAATCCATGGTTGATTGGGCTTGTACATACCACACAGATATAAAGATTTACTTATGATGAATTTAGAACATACAAATATTAAGCATGTTTATTCATAAAATAATTAAATACATTGATTAAATAATGTGGTCCTAGCTCGCAACCCTGTTTTAGGACTAATTGGATTTCGTAATTGACCAAAATGAGAATATTATTAAATGTTTATGTAGATGAGCCACGTTGTCCCTGTCTCCGGGCAACAGATAGGACTCAGGTAGTCAGGTTACATTCATATGGTCAATTACTACAAACCGGTACTTTTGATTTAAAAATCATCAATGTTCCACCCTTGAATCTTTGTCTAGGTGATTTTCTTTAACCATCTTTGATTGTTTAAATATCCTTTTTACCCTTCAAATATTTATTAAATTAACAAATTTTTTTAACCCTTAAATACTACAAACTAATCATCTACATTTCAAATTTCACTCGTCAACACTCTTTTTCCCACCTCTCTCATTTTCATAATATGATAAATATAGAAACCAAAACCTAATAATCCTACATTCAAAATCAAACACAATAGAAAAAAAAAATAAAAAAAAAATTCAAATCCTAAATTCAAAGATGTAGAGGAAGGGAAGTAGCCGTGGAAGTTGAAGTTGAAGTAAGAGGTAATGCTAGTGAAATTTCGGAAGGAGTAAGGTGATTAGCGGTGAGTCCACTGTTGCCGCTACGTGGCAACACGTGGCCATAGTTGGTTGCACAACAAATTGCAATGGCGACAACCAGACAAGCTTGTCCTCATTGCAAGCTACCATTGCTGTTTCTTGGCCTTCACCACCGATGGCCATGACATTGAAAAATGCCCTTTGTTTATGTAGAAAAATGACTTGGGCAGAAGCTACTAGGTGAGATATCTGCCTATAGGAGATTCACTCAAACCCTAGTTAGTAAATTCGTGTTTTATACACGAATTATACGGCTACGGCTTGTCGTATAATTCGCATATAAAACTCGAATTTACGTATTTTATCAAGGTTGTCGTATAATACGCGTATTATATGCCAAATCCGTATAATTCGCGAATTATACGCATATTATTTCTGAATTATTGTAGGAAAAAAAAATTAAGTACAAAGCCAAAATTACATCGTTTTGGGTGGGATTTGATTAAAAAGTTAAAAGATTTTCTTTTCTCCTTCTCTTCAGCTCTTCCTCGGTTCTCTACTTCTCTTCCATAGTTCTTCAAATCTTCAACAGTTCTTCATCTCTTTAACTCTCTTTTCTTCATCTTTTGACTCTTGACTCTTGATCTCTTCTTCTCTTCTCCAAGGTCCAAGCTTCAAGTCCAAGACTTCCACAGTTATATATTGTGTATTTGTGTTATATTATTAGGTCTAATTGTTATTGGTTAATTGAATACTTTGCATTTGAAATACTATATTGATTTTAATCAGGTGGTTCATGAAAAGTGCTAAAACTAGGATTAATATTGCTGTATTTTTTCAAACGTATAATTGACAATGTATCGTATTAAACCTATATTGTATTTTTTCCGTATCTGAATTTTATGATCGAATTTTTACAAACATGTTTTTCATCATTTGCTGTATCATACTTATAAAATTCTCATACCTTTTTTTTCCCGTACCTATATTTACTAACTAGGACTCAAACTGAAAGATTCGCATGGACCCTACATTTACTTAAGAAAATATTCACTGCTTTTAGGGGGCATCAATAGGTTTTTTGGTGTGGTCCATCCTATGCTCAAGGTAGATAGTAAGACTAGAAATAGCAGAAAAAGAGGAGTTTTATGTGAACTAAGGGAGATTACCCTTGCCGATCCCCTTGGGGGCTTTATGTAGTCTTTGCCCCTTGAACGTGAGGAGGCTTTTTAGGCTTGCGTTGCCATGATGGTGGTGGAGAAGTTGATCTCTTAAAAGATAGGAAGTGGGTAGTTAACATGAAGTAGGGATAAGCTAGACCATGTGTGGTTGGAGATATTATCTCCTTGTATGCCACGTGTTCTTAACATATTTGGATCTCCTTCGATCCGGTAGACTTCTTGCGGCCCAAACCTCCAATCTGACTCGTTTTCAATACTTTATTCGTTATGTACCCTTGCTCCTATATTTTAGCCCTATTTATCAAGGACTTACTTACTGAGCTTCATCAACTTGGGTTAGGCTAAAAGTCTCCCTCAGCATAGGCCCCCAGAGTTTCAAAATTAAAACCTAGATTTGGAATTTGGAAACTTTAGGGTGCGTTTGGTTTATTATTTTGGATAGGATTTTGGGAATAATATTGGGTAGTTGGATAGGGGAGTATTACGAGATAAAATCTAAAAATTTATGAAAAAGCCCCTAAGTTTGCTAATTTAATTAAACACCTTAATGTATAAAATGACAAAAACACCCCCACCACCTGAAGTGCCAGATTCCGGCCACCACCGCCGGAATCTAGCCGAAAAATCACGTTACAACATAGACCGGTCGGATCTGTGTTGTAACGGGCCGTTATGGCCTTTTCCGGCCAGATCCACGGCCTGTCGTGGCCGCGACGATCGGAAAAGGCCAAAACGACGACCATCTTTGGCCGTATGACCGTCATTTTCGGTCAACGACGGCCATTTCTTTGACTGTCGTTACGGCTAGATCCGTGGTGGATCTGGCCTGAAAAGGCCAGATCGGTGAACTTCCGGCCATTTCGGATTGGCAGATAGGTCGTTATACAGATTCGGGCTACCACCAACGATGGTTGCCGGAATCTAGCAAGTATGGGTCGCGGGGGTGTTTTTGCTAATTTTTAAACTTTTTTTCAGGGGGTATTTAATGAAATTTATAACCTTATGGGGTCTAAAAATAATTAAAAAATAGGGTAATATTTCTGGAATAATGTGCCAAACATTATTTGGATAATAGCGTTGGGAATATGGGTAAAAATAGTAAGCCAAACATGCCCTTAGGTAAGACTGGATCTTTTTCTGGTTCTCACTACAACTATTTTATGGTGATCTCTTCGATTAATGGATCAAACTTATGAAGTTTGATGAGGAGAATTTTCAAGGGCGACAATGGATCTAAACTTGAAATGCTTGTGTTAATATTCAAATTCCTAGGTTGGAAAATGTACAAGCTACTCTGAAAGTTGATCTTTAGGCAATTGGTTGCCTATGAAAGATTTCAGCGGTATCTCAATATTTTTGGCTTCACTAATTTGTTATATGGGAGCCGATCCCTTTACTTTGCCTTACTTAGAGATTTTTAATTCAGATATCAAATATATCGAGAAGATTTGCCACAAATTGAATCTTTTTTAGAAGCATTGCCTTTATTGGAGATTCTCTCTTTTCGGGATTTCTCTGATGATTTGGCCTTGCATTAGGCCTCCATGCACATTTAGGCTTTTAACTAGTGCAGTATGACAATATGAAAGTCTAATTTACATTCTATTTATTTCGCTTGGATCCCTTAATTTGTTTAAACCTCAAGTTTAGAGATACCTGATTTTGTCAATCCTCAAGTTATGTTCTCACATAAGGATCTGATTCCCTTAATTTTGTCAATCCTTAAGCGTGGTGTCCTAATTTTGTTGAATCCATAGGTGGTTTGGTAGCATGGGATATTAACATGATTTTGTCAGTGGCATAAAGGGGTTTCATTTCGTCAGACTTCACCAAATCCTCAAGGGTGGCATCATTGCCAATATAGTGTACTTTAAAGTTAATCTGCTAAAGGACCCTAGCGTGACTTGGAAACCATGGTTAGGCTTGGGAACAGCCTCATGATCATCTCTAGACCATGAAGTCTAGTTTATTCTAACGTATAGACAAAACAAAGCGAGACTAAAATGACGAGGAGATTGTTTAAACAAAATAAACAGAAGTTTAACACAATAGAAGTTTGGTAAAACAAGAGTATAATGAAATAGAAATCTGATAAAACAAAAGACTGATAAAGAAACTGACATAACTACTTATAGTATAGACAAACTGTTGACTTTAGCACTTATTGATGGTACTTCCATAGATGTTTTTCATTCCATGGGGGAGGAGATGTTTCATAATTTAACAGATTCCTTGCTCATCCTCATTTGGTAATGTCATTAATATCTTTATAGTTAAGACCAAAGGTCTGAACTTTAGACTCGGCGTCTGTTAGTGCTTTCCTTAAAGGCCAAGATTCCGGGTTTGCATTTGGTTTTCTTCTCTTGGTCATTTGATCTTTTCCAAGATTTTGTGGAACCATAGTTCCTTGTGGCAGTGTACAA